AGCACATAATAACTGTATTATCCATGTCGAGTTTTGCTTATGGTGCAGAAAAGTAGCACAGGTTGACTCAAAATTACAGCTGCATAAAAGGTCATGAGAATGAGTCCCAAGACACAATGCAATGTAGGCAAGGATAAATCTCATTTTGTTGGCGTGATTATAATTTGTATGATCTTTCCTGTAATTGTGATTGCTTATTTATTGAAATCATTTGTATACCAGGTTTCATTCAGAGGATACCAAAGCAGTTCACAGTACAATAAAAAACTACAATAAACAGAAAAACAATAAATTAGGAAAGTCCAATAAAATATTAGCGCTTTTGTGATGCCAGAATGAAGGGCTTACAAACATAATGTGTATATTTGCTTCTAGTAAGAAACTGTGTTGTCCTTCCTCCCTTCCTATCCCATATATGCATGCCAAGAATGTAGCTTGGTTTGGATAAGATTGCAAGGTTATCGACCGTTCTGTTACCAAAATTAGGAACATCTCATCCCTATGGCCTTCCTTTCTTCCTTCTGTTCTCAGGATGTCACTTGGTAGACTGTGGAACAGGAAGTGCAGTCACTTTGATGGTGATGGTGATAGTGATATACTGGGCTCCTTTGAATTTCTTTTGCAAGGGCAACAGATATATGCCTCGTTTGTTCTGTACTCTTAAAGGAATATCATATGATGCTAAATTCATGGCTTAGGCCATGGGAACTGGGAACTGTAGCTCATTAAGGGTGCTGAGAGTCTTAGGAGGCCCCTGTGGCTCGGTGTGGGGAATAGGTAAAGGGAAAGGGACCCCGACCATTAGGTCCAGTTATGACCAACTCTGGGGCTGCGACGCTCATCTCGCTTTACTGGCCGAGGGAGCCGGCGTACAGTTTCCGGGTCATATGGCCAGCATGACTAAGCCGCTTCTGGCGAACCATTGGTACCTATTTATCTACTTGTACTTTGACGTGCTTTCAAAATGCTAGGTTGGCAAGAGCAGGGACTGAGCAACGGGAGCTCACCCCGTCGCAGGGATTCGAACTGCCAACCTTCTGCCCTAAAAACAGTCTGTTGATGATTTACATTTTCTCTTGCTTCTTTTGGTGTTGTTTGGCTTTGCTGTCAGGAGTGAACAGGATTGTGGTGACATTGGCATTATGCCAGAAGAATCTAGTGGAACCATGGGATCAGCCTACAATTTGTGGAAGTTTCGATATTTCCCCCCCTTTGCCCCTAATAGCCCAGTTTCACCTGGGTGAGCTAAAATACACATTGGATGCCATTTTAGTTCAGCAAAATATGTGGAATGTTGATTACACTGATGTCCTTTCAATATTACAAAGAGTTGCATTGTTGCTTCCATATGCACTTTTATAGTCTGTTGTTCTGTCAAGATTGTTGTTGTTTAGTCGTTTAGTCGTGTCCGACTCTTCGTGACCCCATGGACCAGAGCACGCCAGGCACCTCTGTCCTCCACTACCTCCCGCAGTTTGGTCAAACTCATGCTGGTAACCTCGAAAACACTATCCAACCTTCTCGTCCTCTGTCGCCCCCTTCTCCTTGTGCCCTCCATCTTTCCCAGCATCAGTGTCTTCTCCAGGGAGTCTTCTCTTCTCATGAGGTGGCCAAAGTACTGGAGCCTCAACTTCACGATCTGTCCTTCCAGTGAGCACTCGGGGCTGATTTCCTTAAGAATGGATGCGTTTGATCTTCTTGCAGTCCATGGGACTCTCAAGAGTCTTCTCCAGCACCATAATTCAAAAGCATCAATTCTTCGGCGATCAGCCTTCTTTATGGTCCAGCTCTCACTTCCATACATCACTACTGGGAAGACCATGGCTTTAACTATATGGACCTTTGTTGGCAAGGTGACGTCTCTACTTCTCAAGATGCTGTCTAGGCCTGCCATTGCCCTTCTCCCAAGAAGCAGGCGTCTTTTAATTTTGTGGCTGCTGTCACCATCTACAGTGATCATGGAGCCCAAGAAAGTAAAATCTCTCACTGCCTCCATTTCTTCCCCTTCTATTTGCCAGGAGGTGATGGGACCAGTGGCCATGATCTTCGTTTTTTTTGATGTTGAGCTTCAGACCATATTTTGCGCTCTCCTCTTTCACCCTCATTAAAAGGTTCTTTAATTCCTCCTCACTTTCTGCCATCAAGGTTGTATCATCTGCATATCTGAGGTTGTTGATATTTCTTCCAGCAATCTTAATTCCAGCTTGGGATTCATCCAGCCCAGCCTTTCGCATGATGTATTCTGCATATAAATTAAATAAGCAGGGAGACAAAATACAGTCAAGATTACAGCAGTATATTTTGAAGAAAGCAGCTAACTATACAGAAAAGACTTTCCTAATAAGCAGTGAGGCTCTAATTTCCTGCAACTTAATTGTGACTTGATCTTTATGAGCTTCCTGCATTGACCAGTTCAGTATTTTGCCATGGTCCCAGTTCAGCAGGGACTGAGAGACACTTTGAATTTTAAAACACCCTGAGGTGAAAATTAGGAATAAAGAAATGCTCTGGAGTTTTATTTTTATTTTAAGCATTTACGAAGTGTGGCCTGGATTTATGGTTGTGATTACTTGATTGTGTTAAAATTAGGAGTGCTCTAAGCAGATTTTGGGGAGGGTTTTTAATGTAATTACTAATAATGCTCTGTGGATTTTATAGTGATTATCTATTACTCTGTGCCCTTTGTGATAACAGCTTAAGCAAGCTAATTTTAGGTCTGCATTCTGCAATAATTAAAATCAAATGTCAAAAATGTATTTAAAGAAACCGAGATAAATGCATCCTTTAAGATGTTGTACAGAAATAGTAATATTACTATTTCTCTTCTTGTGCAATCTAATTATATACGAAGTTTATAGTCTGTCATTGTTATAGTTCTTTATCTGCCAAGTCTTTGAAATTAAGAACAAGTCATAGTTGTCTCTGACTTCCAGGTTGAAGTTTAGTCCAGGTACAGGTGACAGTTGAGCTTTGAAGGGTTTACATCAATCTGTTCTGTGAAGCTGGTTCTGGGAAACATTTTACAGCCTAGGACTTTGTCTATATAAGGGTGGAATAGGTAAAAAGGAAAAGGAAATGACTCCTGGACGGTTAAGTCCAGTCAAAGGTGACTATGGGGTTATGGCGCTCATCTCGCTTTCAGGCCGAGGGAGCCGGCATTTGTTCACAGACAGTTTTCCAGGTCATGTGGCCAGCATGACTAAACTGTTGCAACAGAACATCATGACATAAACCAGAGCGCACGGAAATGCTGTTTACCTTCCTGCCACAGCGGTACCTATTTATCTACTTGCACTGGCATGCTTTCAAACTGCTAGGTTGGCAGGAGCTGGGACAGAGCAACAGGAGCTCACCCCATTGTGCAGATACGAACCGCTAACCTTCTGATTGGCAAACCCAAGAGGCTCAGTGATTTAGACCACAGCGCCACCTGCATCCCTCTGAAAGGTGGAATAACCTACAATAAATAACCAGGTCAATATTCTTCACACAGCTGCCTCTTCCAAGGTACTTCCTTTTTATATTACTTGGAGGCGTAACAATGCAAATGGGTTCACTGGAGAATTAACTTTCTGCTGTCCCAATTTAGTCTATGAACTTGTTCCACTAGCATAAGGACTTTGGGTCAACCAACCCAACTTCCTCTTGCTCTTCATTCCCTGTACACCACTAAATCTGTGATGGCTTTTCTCCCAAACCTCTGGAGCAGATGCACGGGGGAAGGGAAGGGATGTTCCTTTGTACAGTGGAAATCCTTGTTCTGGCACTATTTCACTGGATATTGCCCTACACATCTTTATTTAATTAGGGATTAAGGACATTTTCATGCCCTGAGGTGATGTAGGAGGCCAAGTGAGCACTGCCACCCACTGTCACTGCAGATGTGCAGTGTGTGAAGAAATACACAGCTTCAGTGAAAAAGTAGTAAGGAATGAAAGGCTTAGCATCGTACCTGAAGTCTGCTGAGAATCTCACCAACATGCATCATTCAAATTCAGGACATCTCTACATTTACTAGAGTTCTCCAGAGTGTTATATGCATATTATAAAGAAACATGAGCCTTCAGGATACTTTAGAAATAATATTTGATTGCTGACATCCTGTGTATTGACATCTGCTTGGCAGCTGTGGCAGCTATGTGCTGGACTAGATAGGCCTTTGGTCTAATTGCCATCTGTAATTAAGCCCTTCAGGCAGTTCATAGCATCCTGAAGTTCATAAAATCAATGCCGGCTAAGGTATGTGGTAGAAGCTGATCACATGATATTCATCAGTGGTATTACAACATGTTTCTTAGCTGCCATCTCTGTTGCAGGAATGCTAGATGTGTACTTAATAAGGAAATGTTTTAGTTCACTAAAAAGGTTTTAATATATTTTTTTCTGAGAAGATGAAGCCAAAACAGCAAATTTCCTTACTGATGCTTCATTAGACCATTCTGGAAACCTTATAAGGACTCTATACTGCATACACAAGAGCCAAAATGAACACAATCCAGAGGATTTGCATAAACAATGTTACATTTTATTCAGGAACCTTCATTTTGCTTATCAATTATGACTAATAGTTGTCACATCCTCTGTCCCAGAAGTTATTTCTTCTAATCCCATATATGGAGGGTGTGTGTGGGGACACTGTGCAAACTAGACATAATATGGACGAGCCTTGACATTGGCAATAATTTTCAGTTACTTCCTAGTGAGTTTATGAATGGAGTCGGTACTTCTGGCTTAATTTAAGCCTTGACTATAGTTACTCAATAAAAGCTACTTCCAAAAAGTCTTTTTGTCCAGATCATTACCCACAATGCTTGTTTTGTAGTTCCAGCTGGGGAGACCAGCAGGTGAATTCTTGATATCAATCTTCTTGGAAGCAACCCCATGGGGAGTCTTTGCACTCAAGCGTGCTATAAGTTAAGCTATATGATACTTCTCATTATGTTGGTGTTTTTTTTAAACTCTCTGATTCTGATAAGTGTCTAATTTATTTTTCTTTGCAGTTCATTGCGTTTGCCTCTTTATTCTTCATCCTACTTTCAATCACAACCTTTTGCCTGGAAACCCACGAAGCATTCAACACCATCAAAAACAAAACAGAGCCAACCATCAATGGTTCTGAGGTGGTTCTGCAGTATGAAATAGAGACGGACCCTGCTCTGACGTATGTTGAAGGAGTATGCGTGGTGTGGTTTACATTTGAATTTTTAGTCCGCGTTGTTTTTTCACCCAACAAACTTGAATTCATCAAAAACCTCTTGAATATCATTGACTTTGTGGCAATTTTGCCCTTCTATCTCGAGGTGGGCCTCAGTGGGCTGTCCTCCAAAGCTGCTAAGGATGTGCTTGGTTTCCTCAGGGTAGTGAGGTTTGTGAGAATCCTGCGAATCTTCAAGCTCACCCGACATTTCGTGGGCCTCAGGGTGCTGGGTCACACGCTCCGAGCAAGCACCAACGAGTTTTTGCTGCTGATAATATTTTTGGCATTAGGAGTATTGATATTTGCCACCATGATCTACTATGCTGAGCGAATAGGAGCCAGACCCAACGACCCTTCTGCTAGCGAACACACAGAGTTCAAAAACATCCCTATTGGCTTCTGGTGGGCTGTGGTCACCATGACCACTCTTGGGTATGGAGACATGTATCCAAAGACATGGTCAGGGATGCTAGTGGGTGCTCTGTGTGCTTTAGCTGGGGTGCTGACCATAGCCATGCCTGTGCCTGTTATTGTCAACAACTTTGGAATGTACTATTCTCTGGCCATGGCGAAACAGAAGCTTCCGAGAAAGAGAAAGAAGCACATCCCACCTGCTCCTCAGGCAAGCTCCCCTACATTTTGCAAGACAGACTTGAACACAGCCTGCAATAGCACACAGGGGGAAGTCTGTCTGGGCAGAGACAACCGGCTGATGGAACACAATAAATCAGGTAGGACACCGTCCGAAACGCATGTCTGGTATGTTTGGCAGTACAAGGCGTCAGAAAGCATCGAATCTTTCTGCAGCTAGAGGAGGTAGTTGACACACCTCTCCCTTCACTCACTGTTTGTATATGTCAGTCTTGTAGGTGGCAAAATAGCTACAGCATAAGAATGATGTTCCCAGATCTGTGCATTGCTGATCTGTAGTGTTCGCTAGGTGTTTCGTGAACAGTGCTTTTTTGTGACAGTACTCAATGGTACCGAGTACAATCACCTCTTTTTTTGCTGCCCATAGCAGCCATTTTGTGCTGGCACCCACAGCACTTTTATCAAGATAGAAGTACCAACACCTCATTTTATTTATTTATTTATTTATTTCAAAAAAAAAAAAGCACTGATTGTGAATGCTGAGCTACCTTTCATTTTCCTTATTTCTTCATAATTCTTTTGTTTTACTGGCGGCATCTGCTGTTTCTTTTGCCTGTTGCACTGTACAATGTTTTGTTTTGTTTCCTGCATGCCTATTCCTGTACAGCTGTGCCTCCATTTTGTTGAACTTCATGGCGTTTTGCGTGGTGTTTGTCTCTTCTGTCTGCTTGTCTCTTTTGTTTGCTTTGCCTGTGCCACACTGGTGGCATGAAATACTAGAAGTGGTATAAAGAAACATTCATTTAAACATGGATGATTAATCTGGGCCTACATTCAGTGCAACAAGTAACACAGAAGGGGGTTCTCTAGATTTCAAGGAGAGCATTTCTTTTTTCATAGATTGGAATGACACCCCCCCCCCGACCTAAGGGAACAGGTGATGCTCATGAAATTACATTTAAGCTTAGACTCAAATTTTCTTACTTAGAAGCAAGAGGTCCATTAAATTTCATTTGAAGCTTTCCCCCTGTTAGGATGCTTAGAACCTCACATCTTGTAGGCAGTGGTTACAACATGGACAAGATTTTAACTAACCGTGCAATTCTATAAATGCCTACTAAGAAGTAAGTCCCACTGAGTTCAGTGGAGCTTATTCCCAGGTAAGTACGTATAGCATTGCAGCCATGGTGCTGTAATCTTAGAGACTTTTCATAATTATATTTAATATATAGAAACATAAAATTTCTCCTGGATCAGACCAAAGGCCAGTGTCCTGTTCAGGCAGATGCAAATGGGATTTCCACAAGCAGGGCATGAACACAGCAGACAGGTTCCCCTTGTGATTCCCAGTACAGTCGTACCTTGGATCCTGAACGCCCTGGAACTCGGATGTTTTGGCTCCTGAACGCCGCAAACCCAGAAGTGATTGTTCCGGTTTATGAATGTTCTTTTGGAACCCGAACGTCCGATGGGGCTACCGTGGTTTCTGATTGGCTGCAGGAGCTTCCTGCAGCCAATCAGAAGCTGCTATTTGGTTTTCAAATGTTTTGGATGTCGAACGGACTTCCGGAACGGATTCCGTTCAACTTCCAAGGTACGACTGTAACTAGTGTTGAGATGTATACTGCCTCCAACCCCGGACATAGTATGTTACCATCATGGCTGGTTGCCATTGATAGACGTACCTTCCATTAATCTGTTTTAATTCCTTGTAAAGCCATTACTACAGGTTGTGGTAGTGAATCCCAGAATTTAACTATGCACATTGTGAAGAAATGCATTTTTTCTGTCCCGAATCTTTCAGCATTCAGCCTTATTAGATGGCCCGACATTCTAGTATTATGAAACAGAGAAAAATCCACCTTTTCCCACTTTCTCTGTAGGATGCATAATTGTATATATCTCTGTGGTTTCCCCCTTTTTAATCTGCATTTTTTCCAAACTAAGGATCCTCAAATATTGCAACCCTCCATAGAAGAGTTGCTTCACTTTCCTTGATCATTTTGGTTGCCAGCCGTTTAAATGATCAATTACTGTAATGATTCGCAATGCTTCTCCCCCCCCCCAAAATAAATAAATAAATAAATCAAAGTAATAATGGAGATGCAGAGAGAGAGAGAGAACTGCTGCTTTCTGGATTTATGGTCCCAGTAATTTGTCTTTTAAGGATATCAATGAAAATAGGTGCTCTTACGACTCCACAGCTATCACAGCTAATTTCAAACTCCTTTGGAGATAATGAATCAAAAGTGTTTATACTGGGGGTTTTCCTGGGGTTTGGGGTGGGGATACTAAATTTGAACATTTGGGAAAGTATGGAAAAATCTTGGAAGAGATTAGATACAGTGGCTGGATATGCTTTGATTGGTACTCCCAAAGTGATAAGGGCCACCCTGTTTACAGGTCAGTATGAAGTCCACAGTGTTCAATTACATGGCAGTAGTAGGGAAAGGTTATAACAAGAGAAATCTTGAGAAGGAAAAAATATATATACAATAAGATAATAAAATGTGTCTTTTCCCTTTCCAGTGCCTTTAACATCTGGCTCTCCAGATGTTGACAGACCAATTCCCAGCAGCCCCAGTTTGCATAACTAATGGCCACAGATGACAGAAGTGTTTGGAGGGCCACAGGTTTCCCATCCCCATTTTAAATTCTAGAATCATTATGGTTAGCATTTTAAAAGTAATAAAATAGATCACTGTTCTGAAATATTAAAAGCCCTATTATCATGATAAAAGAGCCTATTAATCAAAAACCTGCAGATGTTTAAAGAGGGATTAGGCATTTTAATAACTATTAACTGCTCTACAGCAGGGCCTTTTACTTCCCTCTCCCCAAGCTTTATTAGGTATTGCCACAGTTAGCTTTTAGGACGGACACAGGGATGTGCCTAAGCACCATGAGTGTAACTGAAGGGAAAGTAAAACACACCATGTTTGGTTTGCTAATCCTTGCCTAGGCTGCAGCCAGCCAGACCACATGAAGGGATTAGGGCTGTTCAGATCACCCTCAAACCAATACACAGCCCAAAGCACAATTACCCTTCCAAAGATTCAGTGTGGTGTAGTGGTGGGCTAAGACCAGGGTTAAAATCCCCACTCAGCCATGAAGCTCGCTGGGTGACCTTGGGCCAGTCACTGCCTCTCTGCTTCACAGGGCTATTATGAGGGTAAAACAGAGGGGTGGGTGGGAAGCATGTATGCCATATTGAGCTCCTTGAAGGAAAAGTGGGATATAAATTTAGTAGTCAGACAATCAATCAATCAATCAATCAATCAGTCAGTCAGTCAGTCAGTCAGTCAATCACTCACTCACTCACTCACTCACTCACACCTCTCCCACTTTTGCAGCTCAGTTCTCCTACCAAATAATGTACAAGCATGCTTTTATTAGGGGGAATTGTGCATAAAATTGCACACATAAAACAGCAAACCTAAATGCATTATATAAGGGGAATCTGCTTGCAAAAATTTGCACTTTAGTCAAAGCTGTATTTTGTGCATTTTTAGTAGAAATGTGTGCTAAAATGCTGATGAATTTCCATGAGGATTTTGTTTTTTAAAAATGCAAATGGCTGCAGAAATGTGGAGAACTTTAAAACGGGGGAAAAGAGAAACCGAGAGAACCCAAAATTGACAGACTGATCCATGCCTACCTCTGTGTGTGCGCGCACTATTAGAGAAGCAACAAGATTCCTCCCTAAACTTGGTGCCATGTGGAAGGGAGAGCCGTGGTCTTTACCCTTAACCCAACATGGCACCCTGTGTGCCTCTTAGTGAAGGACCACTTAGTCATGTGATACTCATATAATAATGTTCAGCAGACCTGCACGACTTGTGACCCAGCAAGCTGTGTACTATGGTTTGCAAAACAGTTCCAGGAAGACAGAAGAAAAGAGGTTTATCAAGCTTTTAGCAAGCCATAGGACATGGTTTGTCACCTGCGTTCAAGTTGGGCTTGCCTGATGTGAAGTCACGACTCAAGCACGGTCTCTTACTCTTGAGTAAGCGCCCAATATATTAGTTCGCAGTAGACCCGAATAAGCTATTCTATGGTTATATGTGAATTTATTTTAGTAGTGGATATGAGTGTGTCATCTGTATTTCAAGATTTAGTACTTACTATTATTATTTGGCAGCAAAATCTGACTTGTTTTTAAGTACTGAAGACACTGAAGCAATGAGTATAATGTTGAAGATGGCAACCGTTTAAAAAGCCAAAAATCAACATCAAAATATTTTTTTCCTTAACCAAATAATACAGATGTGCAACTTTGTTCTATTTCTATATTAACGAATGACCATGAAGGGCCATCTCTCCCCATTCCCCAATTCAATAACTAGTAGTTTTTAAAAATAAATAAATAAATAAACATTAACTTAAGTAACAGGCTGTCAGGCAAGTTGTTTGTGATGTTTCGTTTCCTCTCTGGCTATATTATGTAAATGGGCATGGTGCTTTAACCAGTGTTATCAGGTGAAGACAGTACAGAAAGTGAGCAGCCACTGTCACCTGTGGAAAGGCTCCCACCAATCAGACGCTCTAGTACCAGAGACAAAAACAGAAGAGGGGGAACATGTTTCCTACTGACAGCAGGTGATTACGCGTGTGCTACTGATGGAGGGATCAGGAAAGGTATGGACTCTTTCATTAGACTATAAAAGTTCATCCAGCACTGTTCTTCTGAGTAAACAAACCTGGAATGAAGGAGATGCGAACAAATGCTATATAGGAAACATTGTATGCAGACTAATGCATTTCTTCTTCTTCTTCTACTTCTTCTTCAGTTGTCCCTTTCTTGCTTCCTCTTAAATAACGGTCTTGGCTCATCAATCCATCCAAAGATATGTCCGTGTTGTTTCTGATAGGTGTATCATTCATGGTTTCATTTGTCTGTCCTGTGCATAGATAAATATAATTTAGGTCATGTTCATTAAATCACTTTCATAACAGTTCTTTAGAAATTGCTTTGGGATATTTTAAATTCCAGTTAAGGACTTACTAGTTGAATTTAGTAATATTTTAGAAGGTTGGTTCAGTTAAAAATGTATTGTACAGTGGTACCTTGGTACTCTAATTGCTTGGTTCCTGAACAAATTGGCTCCCAAATGCCGCAAACCTGGAAGTAAGTGTTCCAGTTTGCAAACGTTTTTCGGAAGCCAAACTTCTGATGCAGCTTCCGTTTGAGTGCAGGAAACTCCTGCAGCCAATTGGAAGCTGCGCCTTAGTTTTTGAACGGTTTGGGGAGTCAAACAGACTCCTGGAATGGATTAAGTTTGAGGACCAAGGTACCACTGTAGTTCTAAATGCCAGAGCCCTGATGTGCAATACACTTAGTATTTTGGAAAACATTGACATAGAAATGTGAGGCTTTGGTGCCATAGGCTAATAGGCTAAAGGTGAACCCACTTACCCAGCACAATATTGCTGCAGGTAGGCCAGTGTTAAATAATTGTTTCCCATGGCAAGCTATGGAAAGGTCAATGGCATATTTGCCTATTGAAACAACGGCATACATGCATTATTGAGTTTCAGTCCAATCAGGCCTACCAGCTGTGTATACATGAGTTTTTAAAAATATAGCTTTATCAGTCATCTTTCTTGTATTTGTTTTGGGAAACACTGCTGATGGTTGCAGCAATTGTGTGCTTAAATTGTGGATGTCTTTCCACATGGGGTTGGCTCCCCCATTTGAGAACGACTAGCCTAAAGAAGATGTGATTCTATCTCTTTTCTGTCAAGCAGAGATTTGTGTGTATGGGGAAGCCCCATGAAGATAAATGGGACTTCACTCTCAGGTAAACTTGTTTAGATTAAGGCCAATACATAATTTTGGTTTTTCAGTGTGCTGTAAGAACAGTGGTTTTCTTTCCATGCACAACACTCTGTGACATTAAATAGTAATGCCGTTCTGTTGCTTAAATAAAGCACCCATATCTTGCTTTAAAAGTAAACACTTTCACAGTACAGTATCTGTGAAATGAAAATGTCTGGGGGTGCAGAATTCTACGCTAGTGGTGAATGTTGTTCTATAATATGTAAATTCTGGTTATTTTAGGCTTAAAAGAAGTCATGCTTTGTTCCTATAATATCGGCTGGATTGCAAATAGTATGTACTGCACAGATCACTAAAAACCTACATATAAATAACACATTTTAATGAATTGCAAATCAGTTAAATATTGCAAACAAGACACACTTTAAATAGTATTAGACAGAGCGTCAGATGCTAAATCAAAGTGCTTCTGGAGATGGAGCTTTTTTAACAATACATAATTTATTCCTCTGCATTTATGATTGCAAAATAACTTCATAAAATTAGGTAAGAAATGATTGTGGTTTAAAATATTAAGAACTGGCATTGACACCAAATATCTATATACCTGTATATATCAAATGCTTTCTTCATCTGTCTTGCTTATCACCCTGAATTGTACTACAACATTCTCTATGTGCTATCATTGCAGTTCTACTGAAACCACTGGGCTTGTACGAAGTATACACCCCCAGTTCATTTGCCTTAACAAAATTAAGTATGTAGTTGGTCTGAATTCATTTAATGTCATTAGTAAGAATAGCACCATTTTATGTTTTTCTCTGTTGTTGTAAACAGTCTTAGCACCCTACTCTCTTAGAACCCAATGAGCAAGAACGATTACATTGCATTGCATTGTATTGTTTGTCTACTTTCTGGCTGAACTCAACTGATTTCTGTGCATTTTCTCGTGAAAGGCTACGAAAAATCCCGAAGTTTAAACAACATAGCTGGCATGGCAGGCACTGCCCTGAGACTGTCTCCAGTAACATCACCCTACAGCTCACCTTGTCCTCTGAGACGCTCCCGGTCTCCCATCCCATCTATTTTGTAAACCAGATGGCATCAGCTGGCTACATAGCTTTAACTGAAGTGCTGTTTATCACCTAATGGAAATAAGTGTAGCATTAGCTGTGGTTTCCACTAATACAAGTATAAATCTTGAGCGATATAACTGTCAGCAGCAAGCAATGCCACTCGGGTAGCTGAAGACCCCAATTTTGCTTATAAGGTCCTCTAAAGTAGATTCCCCCCTCACCTTGTACCTGGTTTTGTCCTATCTTACCACAGCAATAAAAGGACAGTTAGTGGACTTCACTGGCCAGTACAAATAAATAAGCATATTTTCAGGGAGATACAGTAAAACCAATGTGCTTCCAATTGATGACCATTCCATTGGACCATTTCTTGTGACTCTAACCCATCTCGAAGATGTCTGGAATCTTGTCTTGATTGCATAGAATGTGACTTCAGTCTGATCATTTGCATGGACCATACTGTCTCCATCACTTGAAATCCGTCTTGCAGACTAACCAAGACCACAGATGGCTCTGGATTGTGTGGGTTTGTTGTTTTATTCATTGTACCATCTTGCTGAAATCAGAAAAAAAACAAAACCCCGACCAACAGGTCCGCATGTGGGATTGGGCTGTTTTTATTGTGCTGCTTTTTAGTTCTTTTTATTTATTTATAACTTTCCCCCAATAATGTCTATTTCTTGATTGATTAATTTTGGTACTGGACTGATGTATCAGAGTTCTGAATGTTTTCGGTTGTTTGCACACAGATAACTGCAAAGAGGTTGTCATTACTGGTTACACGCAAGCAGAAGCCAGATCTCTTTCTTAATGGCTTGGGGAAGGCACAAAACATGAAAGAAAGGTAAACACCATCCAGGCTTGCAATTTTAAGATAGCAAGTTCTGCTTGGCCCTATAGTGATTTCTCTTCTGCAGGGTTCTTCAACATTTTCAGAGGCTGAGTGCCATGTAAAAGCAAGAAGTATACTGGAGTTTTAATTTTTTTTTTGCTATAGGTATAGGAGGGCAATAGTTTACAAAAGGGTTTTTTGACCAGCCTTAAACCTCTAACTCCCAAGCTTTCACAATTTTGTTTCTGTCACATATTTTTTTAAAGATGCTTTGTCTTATATGTTGTTTCTGTTTGTCTGTCTGGCTGACTGTCTGACTGTATTTTTCACCCGTCTCCATAAAGCACAGTTGCCTTTTCCAAAAATGCTCCCTTCATATAAGATTAGCTGCTAAATGCATTTCCTTCTTCCCCCCACTTTTTGATATATGTATCTATGCATATCTCAAGTGTAAGCTGATATCCTTTTAGTGAGCACTTCTTTGACATTTCCCCCCAGTGTGGGATTTAGCAACGGTTCTGCCATTTCAATAGGGTTCCTGCTTCAATCCCACACCCTTAGCAATCTGCATTCATTCTTGTGTTGAGACTTTATCCCCTACATCAGCTTTTTCTTTACAATAAAACAAGACAGCCTTGTTTATGCAGCATCATGAATGCAGTCGCAACTACGACGTTTTGGGCTGGTGAGGAAAACACCCAGCAACGTAAAAGCCTTAGAAATATAAGGGGGGGGGGGAGAAAGAAAATCAAACAGTGTCATAAGAAATCCTTGAGATTGTTGAAAAATCCCTGATTTTTGTATGTTTATTTTTGTTAGGAAAAGAAGTCTATTTGACCATGTAACATAATATTCTGTATATAGCCTAGCATGAACTGCATGTGAAAATTTCTTGTACAAAAATGTATTTATCAGTACTTACCTTTCTGATACATAGAGATGTACATTGATTTAGTTTTGGTAACGAGCGCTGGCAGATATAGATTAATGTAATGTATATACTTAATATGCAAACAGCTTCTAGCAAAGGAATTAATATCTGGTGCTGCTGTTATTGGCTACAGTGTTATACAGAATTTATCATGGATTTTTGACTGCTGAAAAAGGGACAATGGAATTTAGCCATACCAAGGACTGTACTGGAAAGAGACTGCTCCTCCTGAATGGGTCCTGATAATCACCTGCCGCCTTGAAGAGATCCTTCCAATTTCCTATGGAAGTGGAGCTTGTTATGGGGATTAAGGACCAATTCCAACTGCTGCTGCTGCCGCCAGCAGACACAATTATTAGTCACTATTGATGAATCAGCTGTACATAGGTTGTGTGTGCATGGAATATCAGCTTTAGTCATCTATGCCAAGAGATGCTGAATTCAAAGACATCATCTCTGAGACTCCACGGGAAAAATAAAAAGGCCGACACACCTCTTTGTGTATCCTTCCTGGTCCCTACAGTAGGTTATGCTGTGGATCATACAGAGGCACACATGTTTAACAATAGTGATGTAAACGCTGTCTGTCATAGGTTTCCTCATAACAACTGTATTTTTGCAAAGTTTGTAACTCATGAACGTTACTGGCATGGGATTTTGCTACAAGTCTTTATGCTCTCGGTTCGCCATATCTATATTTTTATGAATACTAGTGAACATGCCAACGTTTTGGTTTACTTTTGAAATGGATAAGAAATATGTGACTGCAGACATAAACAGTAAAAATAGAGAGAGAGAGAGAGAGAGAGAGAGAGAGAGAGAGACCACAGTCTTTGTCTAGAGTTCTATAGAAGCGTGTGTGTTTTTTAGTTCATTGTTACCTCAGACTTTAGGTATTGAGAGAAATAAAATACTGGCAGTAAAAATATTATAGGTTTTTTATTGAAACTATCACAGAAACAACATCAGTAAATATAAAATATAAAATAGATCCTAAAAATGTATATTTTGCATAAGAGAGATATTCTTTACCTTTTTGTGATTTTTGTGGTAAATTGTTCAAGTCTATTCTATGTCTATGATACTTTGTAGCCAGGTACTGTGTAATAAATTACATTCTCTCCATCCTGTTCAATAAGACCTTCTCCAGAAACTGTGTGTCACCCTGGTATTTTGAATGTAAGGACCTTTCCCACCTCTGAAATTCTGTATTGTAGACATTTTTGTGAACATGTCAAGGTGCATGCACAAGCCTGGTAGAAGCCAGTGGCCATGTAACTAACAGAAATGGAGAATAAAATTCAAAAGATCCAGGGAGGAGGTTGAAACATACCTTACAATGTGGCTTATCATCTTTCTTTAGTTTCCTGTTTTCTCATTCCTTCTATCTAGTTCAAGAGTGCTTGGCCATTCTAACTGTTGCTTGCATCTTTCTCACAAATTATTTTGGGAGTAAACCAATGTCCCTTGGTTTAATGAAAGGGGAGAGATGGATGGAAGGGGGAAGAGGAGTGAAGCTCATCCCTCTCCTAATTGTTACCCCTTAAACAAATTAATGCCAACCTCTAACTTTTAGCCCTGTTTTATACTGTTCACGTATAATTCCCATATATACAATCATACTTGGTTTTTGAACAGCTTAGTTCTCAAACATTTTAGCTCCTGAATGCCACAAACCTGGAAGTGACTGTTTGGAAGAAGAACATCTGATGGGGTTTCTGCGGCTTCTGCTTGGCTGCAGGAGCTTCCTGCAGCCAATCAGAAGCTGCACTTGGGTTTCCGAACATTTTGGAAGTCAAACGGACTTCCGGAAATGGATTCTGTTCAACTTCCAAGGTACGACTGTATGTAGCATTTTCAGATTCTTAGCTGTGGAAGTCCAAGGCAGCCCAGCTCTTCAGAATGGGACTTTGAAGGCTTCCTCAGTTATTTGAAACTGGATCTCAAACAAGCGAGGGGTTAGGAGGTTAGTGCTAGTGAGAAGTTCTGTACATTTTTGACAGCATTTTTCATGCTTTAAAAGCAAGGAATATAATTCATTTTTCCTACTTGAACAGTTTAGTAATTAGTTGCCACACATTAACCAAGATGTTACTGAAGTTATTCATAGACGTCTAGAAGTTACTTACAACTTCTATTATACCATCTATTACAACCATCTATTATACATAGACACACCTCCCCCTTATGCAACAGCAAATCTTACCCATTCTAGACAACACTCTTTGGGGCCACATAATTTTTTTGGATGGGTTCCCACATTCCCTTTTCCAAGTAGCTGCATAAAGTAGCAACAGATCAAGCAGAATGAAGAAGAGAAGAAGAAGAAGAGTTTGGATTTGATATCCCGCCTTTCACTCCCTTTAAGGAGTCTCAAAGCGGCTAACATTCTCCTTTCCCTTCCTCCCCCACAACAAACACTCTGTGAGGTGAGTGGGGCTGAGAGACTTCAAGGAAGTGTGACTGGCCCAAGGTCACCCAGCAGCTGCAAGTGGAGGAGCGGAGACACGAACCCGGTTCCCCAGATTAGGAGACTACCGCTCTTAACCACTACACCACACTGGCTCTCACTGGCAGATGAGCTTCCCATCTGCTGTTAAGCAGGAGGTGGACATGTGATAAGCATTTACTCTTGTAGGACCGCTCAAATTCACACCAAGGATATCTCTGTGCATGCCCTTGCTGTCACAACATAAGCTAAAAAGTTTGTTCCAAGCTATATTACATCCTTTTTTTTTTTTTTTTTTGGAAACAGTGCCTTCTTACTGAAACTTTGAAATGTCCACAAGAGAACACTATACTTTTATAACAGAATGCTGTTTCACATCATATATCCTTTCCTACTCAGTTTTGAGCTCTTCTGCCTTCGCAAATGATTCTTCTGGAAGCTGTCTCACCTTCTGCTCCCCAAACTGTGTTCCTCAGACTAAATTTTGTACACACTTGCCTGAAAATAAGCCCCTTTGGACTTTCCTTTAAACTCAGGTGTGATGAGACAGAGGGACCAGGAATAGCCCACCACTATGCATGCATCTGTATGCAAACATGGTGTCCGCATAGAACATATAAAAGTATGTTTAGGATTGGGATGTTAGATTAAAGTCTATGTGAAGCATGGGGACATGGACTACCACTGCAGTGGAAGTGATTTGGCTTCATTTGTAGCTGGCCAAAGCCTAAGGCTCACTTTCCCACAAATATGCTTTTGGACTTTGAATAGATGGACGTGTGGCAGCAGTTTTACAGAAAAGCAAGAGGAACTCCACATAAATGCTGTGTACACTTTTAATGCCAGGTTGTAGTAGCCTGGCTCATTTTGACCTCGTCTGCAGTCATAGTGAGCAAGGAAGATGCAGAACCTTTCTATAGATCACTGATTTCCTCACTTCACATTCTATTTCGGTCGGCCTCATTCCTGTTTCAGAGTCCTCAGCAAATTCTTGCTGGCCAATCTCAGACATGGTTCCGCCACTTCCAAACCTCAGCCTTACATCCTTGATTGCTCCCATCATTTCCTTCCTCATACCTACTGGGCCCTTGGCTGCGTAAGCCTGTTTCATCCCTTTACTCTAGTGCTGGTATTCTACTTCTGGTGAAACTTCACTCTGCTGAACCTACGAGAAATTTGAACTCTGCATAAGCCTTGCTTAAGGGTTCTTAACATGAAAAAGTCATGTACATCATTAATCCTGAAATAATTTCCCCCAAAGTTATGAGATCCTATGATGACTTTCAAAAGACATCCTACAAGCCCAGTGGCCTGACACACAATGGTGGCTTTGGAGGGAAGAAAAATGAGGAGAAAATACTTTTATTTTCTATATAATTAAAAAGCCTTAGGCTAAAAGTAGGAGAGCTGGTATAACCAAGAAACACTGTAGAATAATGTCCAGCTGAACTGCAGGTGCCTTTCCAAGTGTGAAAATGGACTCTAATTGTATAGCTATCAATTTAGGTTCAAAAATAGATGGGTGGAATTAAAATTATATTTTAAAAAATAGTATTTTAAAGTTTTTTTTAAAAATAAAATAATATTCCTGAGGTTTTTAAAGTGAAAGCTGGGTAAATCAATTAGATTTGAAAATAATTGGCTTTGTTTTGTAATGCAGAGATGTGAATTTACAAGTCTCAAATGGATTAGATTGAGAAAGCATGTTATTATCTAAATAAATCATGCAGCACCTATTTTCAATAATGATTCCAATAATGAAAATAGGAAAAGAATACGGAAACTAGGGAAGGAAAAATGGGTTGCTTAATATGCTTGATTACAAAGCAGTAGTGCAAGTGATTTCATTAATACTAATAGACCCCAAGGGAAGAACATCAAGGATTTCTAAATGAAAATTAGGAAATATTACAAACACGTGGGGGCAGTTTGAGGATGGAAATAAAAGCTTGTGTCCCCTTTGACCATACTGGCCTAGACAAGCCACAGAAACATAGCTGTCAACATTTTCTTTTTTTTTTAAAGGGAAATTCCTTTATTCCGAATAGGATTCCTCGCAAGAAAAGGGAAAAGTTGACAGCTATGCACAGAAACCCTTGAGAAGCCTTGTTGTTTTGGAGATAATTGAATTCCACATGAAAACCTAAAACTAATATTTAGGACTTAATGTTTTGGAGTATTTGTTATGGGACAAATAACAGTTCCTATTTCTGTCAACTCTACCACCAATTACCTCTGTGGTTCTCAAGTCACCGCATTACCTATTCCTTCACTAGTGATGTGCCTGTTTCTGTGTCTCATGCTCTATACAGTATATTTTTATACACACTACAAGAAAGGAGGCCACACTGCTTTGGAAGCATTTCGTATCCAAGAGACATTTCCCTATTTCTCTACCTAGGTTTCCTGGTTCCTCTAGGAAATGGTGTATCAGCACCTTCTTTCTTGCCCTCTTGGAGTGTAAATTGCATCAAACCTCCAAGTCTCATAAAGCTAAGAGATGGGAAAATGTGAAATGAAGGAGACTAATGCATTTGAGCATGCTGGAATTGAACTGCAGCTCTGAATGGAGCAGTATAAAACACATTTGGAAGAGCTAACAGTCCTTAAAATTGAGCTTTAGAAATATCATCAGGCCGGGAATATAATTCATCAAGTTCTCTTGAGCCTTCAGAAAATGGTGACATTCCCAAAGGTTTAAAATGGTTGCAGCAAGCTACATGTTCATGCTCGCTGAGGGCTAGTCTCCTTTGTTACACACATTTGGAAGAAGGCATCAGCTCTGCTGGAAAAGGA